TCTGCTCCCATAAATAGCCTTGGAAACCCAGGGGGGCAGTTCCACCCTGTCCTGTGGGGCTGCTGTGAGTTAGAATCTACTCGATGGTATCGAGTTGTGTGTGTGCACCACCAGGAAGTACGCTGTATAAATTTGAAATGTGATTTCATCTTTTAGTTGCAATATTGGGGCCCTTTGAAAATGAGCATTCCCCAATCTGAAAGGAAGGTTTTTAAAAGTGCCCTGAGAAAGTATTTAACTGTCCTCTTGGGAGGACAGTTGGGGGTCATGACAAGTGGAGCTGAATGGTTATTGCCACAGTTTTCCTTAATAAAAGGAGGGACAAGAGGATGTTTCAGCGTTGCTGTTTTAAGAATCGGAAAACCTTCTGAGAAAAGTTTGTCTGGATGTAAACATGGGTTTAAGAAACAAACAACAAACCCTTTCATCAGGCCAGCCCCTTCCCTGTAAGCAGCCGAGTTTCCACAGCATCCTTGTGCCATCATCTCTCCCCGCTCTTCCAGGTGAAGCAGCTGCAGGCAGAAACCCCGCCTGGGGGCCCCGAGACCGAAGCTCTGCCCCCCGCTCGGAAGCCGGGGGATTTGCCTCCGCTGTGGTGGCACATTGTGACGAGGCCCCGAGAGCAACCCGTGTAAGAGGGAGCTGCTGCACTGTCGGCGTTTGCCGGTGAATAGCCACGCCTGTCTCCACACGTCCCCAATAAATGAACGGAAGGTCGGCTGCACGGCTGGTGTCTTTGGTCTGAGGACATGGGCAGAAACCATGTGACATGTGGTCAGGCAGGGCAGGTGCTTTTGTTCCTCAGTAAATGCCATCAAGAAAGAAGCACGGCCACAGAGCAGGCGCAGCTTGCTCGCGGGGCCATGGTCACCAAACTCTTTGGCTGTGGGCATTGGCACAAAGCAGAGGACATAACAAAAGGATGTTCACACGGAAGGTTTAAAATACAATGAAACCTGGGAGAGCCGGAACCCGCCCGAACGGCCTGGATTTTCCTTGTTGACAGGGTGCAGCCTTTTCTCTTGCACTCCGTCATCAGGTAGTATCTGGGTTTTCCTGTTCTTACAGGTTCCGCTCTCCCAGGTTCCCCTTGTTACCTACACATCTTGATTGTGGTTCTCAAAGGGCGACTTATGAGGCCATGGGGTATGATGGGCACTTGGAGAGAAGGTGTGGCCAAGGTGAGAGGGTACCAGCTGGGAGGGAACAGTTCTGTGGCCCTGATGTTTTAGAAGCAACGCCCCCTTTGCGTTTCCACCTGTGGCCTGGCATGTGTGCAGATGTAAAGCTGAGGGAGGGGCAGAGCGCTGGTGTGGCTACTTGTTTCACAGGTAATGAGAACGTGCTTTCTCAAACTCTGCTGAACACACCTCCCGCCTGCGTGCTGGCTGACCCGGTGGAACTGTTTTTGGAGAGTCGGGTCAAGTGGGGCACCCGGGATCTCAGGGCTCAATACCATCACGAGCATAGTAACCTGCTGTCTGCTCGCCAAGTTCAATTTCAGTAAGACTTGGAAGACAGGGCTTGTTTCCTTTCCCCTAGTGGTTCTTTATTTATGACGTAGGCTGAAGCAAGTGTTACAATGTAGAAGGGAGACAAGGTACACAATTGTTATTTATACAAGTTTAGAACAAAACAAAAAAAAAAACAAAACCTGCACAGGGGAGAGGTCAACTCTCCGTACAAACTAGCAACTAAACCACGAGAATTAACCTTTAGAAACGATTGATTGATTGATTTTTTTCCCCAGTGGTGACACTGCTTTTACAGTATGCAAAGACACAAACAACTACCCAAGGTGTTTCGTCACATTCTTCCTACATTGAACTTGGCAACGCTTTGTGTGAATTCAGATGATGCTAACGTTTGAAAACTAAACGAGTGAGAAGCTGTACCCCAAAGGACAGGCACAGCCATGGATTCCTAAGGGGGGAAATCCCACAGGTATCTATTGTGGTGACCTGGCCGTGGGCCAGCGGGACCATCTGGAGCATCATATGCACAGCGCATCAGCTGCCCACAGCCAGTCAGGGCTGGTGGGCTGAACCACGGGCACTCCAGTTGCTTATATTCTCTAAAAGGAGCTTGTTTTCCAAGGGGGGAAAAAAAAGCTTGAAGTCGTTTCTAAGAATCATGCCTCTGCTTTAAAGCCATACATAACAAAAAATGTCCTTGAGTAATCACAACAGTGTTTAAATGTTAATATATAGAACAGTGACTATACAGGCAGGTACTTAACTCGCGTGTCTTAAAGCATACGATTCCGCGGGTGAAGGGTCCAGCCAACAGACATTTGCAGGTCCTCTGGGCCCACCGGCCCCTTCCCTCCAGGTGCCGCCCCCTCACAGCTGGCACTTGTAGTGACCCCACTTCTTCACAGCAGCTTTCCCTCATTTGGAAACAGCCCGTTCTCCTGCAGGGCTGGGTTCCCTTCCTGCCTACAAATCTCTGTGGGCTTCCGGAGAGGTGCTCACGTGATAACAAACTGAACTTTCACCTGAAAATGAGGACAGAAATCCATTCCCAAAAAGCATTATTACCTAGAATACAAAAGGATAAAAACAAGAATAAACCAAACCAAAAGGGATCGTTACGAGTGGTCAGATTCCCAGCAATGAAGCCGACTAATTGACATTGATTGAAAAGAAGCGCCCCAGATTGGTAAGTACACCGGCAAGTTGCTAGACTCCACGCTGATCACCCTCGTTCGATCCACTCCAGTTTGTTCATGGTACTTGGGCTTTCCGTGTGCCCAGCCTGCTGGACACGAGGTTCAGTAAGTCAAAGGCATTTTGCTCTGTCAAAGAATTCCCTGCTATCATTTTAAAATGTTTCCACATTTTCTTTCTTTTGAAACTGCCTTACTTGTGGAGATGTATTTGGATTCAGTGGAGGTGAGGATAAGAGACGACAGTGAGGGGTGGGGTTGGTGGTTCTACATCTACCCGGTGACGGCAGCATGCTGGGCTAGAGGCAGGTGCTGTGTGCAGTCAAGAGGGATCGGAGAAAGTCCTTAAACACCCTACGGAAACAAACACTGCCATCCTGTATGGCTTATTTATGGATGCATTTACCATGAAGCTATGAGAAATTCAACCTACAGGGCTAATCTTTAATGGAACAGGATCGACTATGTGGCTGTGCACCTCCATGGCCCTCCCCCCTCCCCCCAGCCGTCTAGCAGGTGCATGTCCCTCAGAATAGAATACTGCTCGCCCAGGCTTCCTCCTGCCTCTCCTCTCCCATCCAGAACAGTGCAGTGAAATGAGGGTCGTCTTCCCCTCTCCACTCTGTACATCAAAATAACTTGGATTTGCTTCTAAGCCAGAGGACTAGGATGCATTTACAAAAGCTTGCAGGAAAAGAAAGGGGAAAGGGCGTGGGGTGTGGGAACAAAGAATTATCAAGAGAAGAAAGGTGTATACTAATCCCTTTGCTGAAGTTAACTACTGGTGGATCCCCTGCCCCGGCCCCCCGCCCCCCACCTGATGCATTTAAAATCTTACAAAGACGTATATAAAAAAGTTAAATGGAATTTGGCACCTTCAGAAAAATCAAAAAGGGAACCGAAGATTCCGATTTGCAGGAGAAAGGAGACGTGAGTATGTACAAAGCAAAGGGCGGGGTTAGGTCCTCCACTAGGCTGCCTTTCATGTGACCTGCAGGTGTGAGCTGCGGGCTCTCCACAAAGCCTGTCTTCTGGGTGGCCTACCAAATCTTCCGTGGGGTGAGAGAGTAGAATGGCTCGAGACGAGTTAGGTGGTGGTGATGGGACAGCTCCTTCCCAGTGGGCAGCATGGGTGGGGGTGGGGGGGACGCCTAGGAGAAGCGAGGGGCCGAGCGGTCATTGGTGGTGGTCTTCTTCAGCTTCACACCCCGCCGGATGGCGTTCAGCATGTCTTCCCCTTGCGGCCCATCCCGGGGGCTCAGGTCTGCAGGCCCCCTCTCTGGGGTCTGGCCCGGGGAGGCAGCAGCACCACCAGGCTCCCGCTCCTGCTCTTCGGCCTCGCTTTCTGGGATGGCCTGCCTGTGCTCTTCAGGGATGCTGGGCTTGGGGCCCGGAAGCGGGGGGTTCACAGAGGCCTGGCCACTCCACATGGAGGTGGGTGTGCTGGCGGCCCCCTGGGGGCCCTCCCCCACCGGAGACGGCGATACGGGGCTGTGTTCCCCACGCTCCTCCAGCCCATCCGGAGGGGCCGGCAGCAGCCCGCGGAGGTCGGGGACAGTTGGGGTCTTCACAGGGATCACGGGCGTCTTGATGGGGATGGGCCCCGCCCCCATGGTCCCCCGGCGGACGGAAGGCTTGGTGGAAGGGGTCCGTCGGATGGTCGCCACCCCTGGGGTGACCATGGCCGGCCCAAGGGTGGTGGGAAGGCCGGCAGTGGAGGCTGGGCGTTTGGCCTGGAACATCCGCCGGTAGGACTGGCTGATGTCGCTGTTCCTGGGGATGGTGGAGGACTTGTCAAACTCTGGCTGCTCGGCCTCCTGCTCACCGCTGACCGAAAAGTAATCGTAATCTGAAACTGAGGAGAGGGGCACAGTGAGAAGGTCGATTCCATGTGCCCTCCACCCAGAAGGCCACAGGAGACATGGCCTTGACCAGACCAGTGTGCTGACCCTTAACAGGTGGTGGTGAGGAAAAGAAACGGCCCAGCTGGCCTGGTGTCCCACAGCAGTGCAAACTGTGTCGTGGAGACTGGATAAGCTGAGAGGTGGTCCCTCAGCTGGAGAACGGCTCACCGTGGGGCTGTCCTGTGCATGTCCCGCAGGACAGCCACATCCCTGGGATGCCAATAGATAACCACTCGCTCCTTCACTTCCCCATGGGCACAGCCTCCAGCTCCCGCTGTCTCTGGCTCTCACACACCGGAGATCTTAACATTTTGGATGAATTACCAAGAGCGTTTGGTCACTTGTCAGATGTATGCCAGCTGTGAGGTTTCAGAGAGAGAGAAGAGGCGCAGGAAGCAGGCCTGGGTGGAATAGGCCAAAACACGAGGCTTTGGATTCTGACAGACCTTCGGTTCCTCCTCCAGCTCTGCTATGAATTGGGGCAGTTACTGCGCCTACTTCTCCATCTGCAACTCGGGGTAAAACTACCTTTCCCATAGTGGCTATGGAGATTAAAAAGGCTAATCAACACAACGGGCTTAATACAAAGTGCTAAACCCTGGAAACTCGGTGCACACCCTGGACCCAAGGAACCCTGATGGCGGGAACTGGGGAAGGCTGCTAAGGGCCAGGTTTCGCCACCTGACAACTACACATCAGCTACCCAGCACCCCGAAAAGTGAAAACAAGTGTACAGTCCACCCTACGCCAGGGGCCGGCGGCGGACAACCCGCTGGCAGGAAACAGCTTGTGTAGGGGCACTGGACTCTTATGAACGGTGGCTGCACAGCATGGTGACTATGGCCCACGTCACCGAACCCGTAACACAGAAAAACCACTGACCTGGCGGGTGACTTTCTAACATCTTTTGGCCATGTTGACAACTTAAAGTTATTTCAAAAATAAAGTGTAAAATGACTAGATGAGTACACACAAATATTTAAATATCCACTGCTGGCTTCATCTCCTCTGCAGGGTGCTCCCCACCCCAATATGCCTGTGACAGGCCTGAGGGGCCCCCTACCTTGGGAGGGGATGGTGTCCTCGGAGCAGCATGGGGTGGTGGTCTGGGTGCTGTAGCCACTGGAGCACTGCAGCGAGTCCCGGCTGCTCCGCTGAGTGTCCAGCTGCAGGCCCCTGGTCAGCGCCAGGGCCAGCTCCTCGCAGGCCTCCAGTTCCTCGCCGGGCTGCAAGGCAGGCGAACCAGGGCAGTGAGCCCCCGGCCTGGCCCCCCTGAGCTGTCCCACATCTCATCTGGTGGGACTCCACCACCCTGTTCCCATCCACATTACACATCTGGGGGGTCTGGGGACTACGGACACCCTGTTGTCCGGCTCAGGCTCTAGACAGTTCTATGCTTCCAAGTCCTGCTCCCTTGAGGGTCTTGTAAGTGCTACAGAGCAGGGGGTGGGAGCCATGGAAACCAGTCCCTCCAGCCATGAGCCTCCCTCAACCACAGAAAGATCCATGGCCACCAGTCGATTCCAACTGGGAGCAGCGATCTCAGGGCTTCCAGGCTGTGCATCTTCACAGCAGCATCAGCCTCCCATTTCTCCAAGGAGCATTATGGGAGCAGATAGCCTCATCTTTGTCCCAGAGCCGCTGGTGGGTCTAAACCAGTGTCCCAGCACCTAACCCACAGTGCCACCTGCGTTGCCCTAACTGGGTCCACCCAGCTGTAGAGAACAAGAGCATCACCCTGGTGGCAGCCGACATGGTCATGCTCCTCGGCCTCTGAGCCTCCTCGGCAGCTGCAGGCACCCCGCCCATGGGAGTGGGTCCCCCTCCGCCGGGCTCCGGCTCCCGTCTCTCTTTGCGGCGCTGCAGTGTGTTCACCAGAGGCTGGTCGTAGGGCCCCGGCTTGGCCCAGTCCTAAGCAGAACAAGGGGGGTCAGGGCAGCCGGGAGGAGCTGGGGCCTCTGCCTTTCAGAGCCCCACAGCTCCCAGAGAACAGCTGGTCCCCCAGGGGAAGCCCAGGGTGGGGCAAGGTCCCCCAGGGGAAGCCTAGGGCGGGGCGAGCCTGTAGCCCCTACCCTCTGCCCTCACTCAGTTCTACAAGACGAGGTGGGCAGCCCTCGGGCCCCTGGGTGCCCCTCTTCTCATCAGCCCGAAGATGGGAGCCTGGAAGCCTGTGAAGAACTCCCGGTGGACAGCTCACCAATATAGACGACAGGCACCAGCTGGTGGAGCCCATCCAACTTGTGAAGGAGACCAGGCTGGCTCTCCCTTAGCAGCTCAAATAGCCACACTTTCCAGGAGTGGCCACCAGGGGACAGCAAAGGAACGCCAGCCCCCTTCCCGGTGGCCGGGCACAATCTACTTGGGGTCCCTCTGGCTCAGGGAGGAAGCCACCACCTCTTCAAAATGCTGGCAGCCGGGGGCCTGTCTCAAAGGAGGGCCCGTGTCTCAAAAGAAAGTATGGTTCTCGTAGAGCATCAACTGAACTTGCCAGGAAGTAATTTAAGAACTTTGCTTTTCAGACAAAGCAAGCACGCGGGCTAAGCAACATCTGCATGTGCTTTTAGGATAAAATGCAGCAATCCAAAACATATTCCAGCCAAGAGTCGGCTACCACAGCCCAGAAAAGGGCTCCTTGGTTAAAAGTCTGCGAAGTGGTGGCAGAGGGCAGCCCCAGGAGGGGTACACCCAGCAGAGTTCATCTGAGTCTTCCACTGGAACACCTGACCCTCCACGTCACAGCTCACAGGGGCCACCGCCCCTGCCCACACGGGGCCTCCCCAACCTCAGCTACACGGGGGATTCTATCCCCGTGCGGTGGTGCCCCGAGGTGGGTATTCACATCAGGAAAGATGTTAGGGGGAAGGAGGCAAAGAGTGAAAGAAGGGGTGGGGAAGAATCGGGGTGAGGCTGGTGGGACAGAAGAGGGTCCAGGGGAGGGGGGGGAGCAGGGAGGAGAGACACAAACCTTCCAGCTAGGGATCTGAGATGACGGGAACATGCCGGGCCCAATGGTGTAATAATGAGCGTAGTCTGGAAGGTGGACAGAGGTGACCCGAGGGAGCAGGCGGGAGGCAGGCAGGCAATGAGGGGAAGGACCTGCACCCCTGGGCCCCACATGAGGCTCACTTGATAAACTATAGTGATAAAACCCGTTAGACAACTGGAAACAAACAAAAAGGGAGGGAAAAAGGGAAAAAAAATTAATAAACAGGATGAGTGTGGAGACACAAGATGGCAATGACATTCAGGGAGGGGGACACCTGGGAATCTGTAAGGACCACACAGGACCGGGCTCTGCGGCTCGGGCGTGGCCATGCAGGCCCGTAGACAAAGGAGCCCAGCACGCAGCGCAACAGTCCGGAACCGTCTGGGTATCACTCCCACTGGGTCTCGGGCTTTCTCTACGGGTTAAACAGATTCTGGAACTACCGAGGCGCTCCTCTCAGATGTAGGCTAAGAGCCTCAGACACCCTCGCCATTCTGGGCTTCCCGAATCATCACGCTTCAGGGGGCTGATTCCATATTAGGGTGGGGAGCAGGGGTGGTGATGGGAATGGGGTGGCAAACAAAAAGGCAGCCAAGCACACAACGTCGGACGGACGTGGTGAAAAGCCATGTTCGAGGGGGTAGTGACGAGGAGGTGGGGTAGGGAGGGAAGGAGGCAGGTGGGTGACCCGACGAAGCCTGTTCCAGGAAGAAGCCTGCACACCACCACCCCCTGGCTCCACGCCCCCTTCCTCGCCCTCATCTAAGGGAGAGCCTGCTCTCGGAGTCTCAACTTAATGTCCGGGTTCCCGGGCTTCGCTGGGTGTGGCGGGTGGGGCAGGGGCGCCGTGTGGCCGGTGGTCACCTTCTCTGGGGCCGCCCAGGCGCCCATGGTGGAGCCTGAGCTGACTGAGGTGGGGGAGCTGCACTCGCTCACTGACTGGCAGGTCTCCGACGCTTCGGAAGACGCCGAGCTGGACGAGTTCTGCAGGGGTGGGGTGGGACACACGACCACACGAGGGGCCACCAGAAACCGAGCCGCAAGCCACCAGACCACCATCGTGGAGACACGGAAGAGCAGGGGTGGGGTGGGAGGGCACGCACAGAGAGACAGACAGATACATGGAGGAGGGAAGGACGAGAGAAGCAGAGGGTTAGGGCCTGTCATTGTCCCTGCAGGAGACCCACACAGAGGCGGCAGCCCCCCAGGGAACAGACTTCAGTGGCTGGATCACCAGCCTCCAGCGTTGCCGTCTCCCTCTTCACAGCCCCGAGCCTAGGGGGACCCCAGTCGCAGCCGCGGGCTCAGTCATCACTCAGGCAACCGCACGGGTGTCAGAGTCGAATGTGCCTCCCAAGCTGATTTTTCGGAAACCCGGGCTTTTTCTCCAAGGCATCTCTGGGTGGACGCAAACTACCGACCTTTCTGTTAACCCTGAAGTGTGTTACCGTTTGCACTGCCCGAGGACAGTGCCCATCCTGGCTCCCACCCCTGCACTTTCCCTTGGTCCTGTGCAGCCCCCGTGTCACTGGGGTTGTGAAGCTTGGTCTTCACGAACATCGTTTTTAGTTTTTTGTTCCGCTTAGAGGGATGTTTGGGTTTGGGGCAGTGTAGAGTCCCTCCACCCCCAGGGTGGTTGTACAAAACCTTACAGAAAGTCTGGGGTGAGGGTGGGGAGAACATCTCGTTGGGAGCTTCCTGCAGCCTCCAGTCCCTACTAGGCTCAGCAGTTCCCCTGCAGAGAGTGTTGGCCATCTACTCCTGCAAGGCTCCCAGGCTGGAGCATTCTAGAGGCAGTACTCGACTGTCACGTGGGGTTGCCATGAGTCTTCATCAGCTTGACAGCACCCTGCTCAGCTCTCCTACAGAACTTCATGCCTTGCATGGGGTCAACAGCTACTGGGCGCAGTGCCTACTGGGCGCCACTCCCAGGCACAATTAAAGAGTGATGGCAGGGCCACACGGTGGCCTCATTCAGAGCGTGTCACCAAGTGGAAAAGCCAAAAGGCCCTGTCCCTGTGGATCCGAGGTGCCTACAGGACCTGGGACCTCTGACCTGTGCCCCTTGTGCAACACCCTGAGGCTTCCATGCAACTTCCGGAGTCCTGTTGGTGCAGCAGCACTTGGACGCTAACTGAAAGGCCAGTGGTTCAAACTCACCAACCGCTCAGTGGCAGAAAAGATGAGGCAGAGCTGAGCCGTAAAGTGGACAACCTGGGAGCCCTCTGGGGCAGTCCTACTCTGTCCTCAGGTGTCAGGCTATGCGTCAGGAACGATCCAAGGGCAGTGGGGTGCGGCGCCTCCACCTCAGGAGGATTAGCAGCTGCCGTGTGCACCTTAAACACAGACTCCGCATGCATCAGTGTGCAGCAGCCCTGAGCTGAGTACAGTCACCCTAGCGCTTCCAGCCCAGCATTTCTCAGGGTCCGGCTTTCAACTTTAAGTCAGTCTCCCATGTGCTGCCTGCTCCTGCTTCCCTTCACATGGACAGAGGCAGCCACGCAGCTTCCGGCGCGCACACGCACACACACGGAGTATCAGCACACAGTGCCAGGTTAATTTCTCAGTTGACTAAACACACACAGGATTAAGCTGCATGTTAGAAGAGCCTTTGAGGAAACGCAAGCTCCCATTCTTGCTCCGACCCCGCACTCGCTCGGCTGGCTCACAAGACACGAGGGGGGTGGGTTGCGTGCCGCAGTTGGGACAAGCACGTTAACACGCAAGGCACAGCTCCTGGCTCCCCGGGGCTCCGACAGGGAAGCTGGTGAGGCAGCAGCAAGGCCCAGAAGACTGAACACACGGCCAGGCTCCAGGTTCACCGGTGGCTGACAGCAGACCCTGCTCTTTGGCCAACGCTGCTGAGATGTGTTATCTGCTGCCTCTGTGGGGCCTGCTCTCCAATTCAGTCTCTAGGGGGGCTTTCTGGCTGGGCCCTGAGCCTGCAGCCAGAACCACCACCTCTGGGTGCTCCTCCTACAAGCCCCTTGGGCACATGGCTTCCAGCTCAGCACAAGGAGCCATGTGTGCCCATGGTTGCCAGGAGGGAGACAGGGTGGTGGGCATGGAAGCCTGACTCACAGAATACTCAGGATTGTACTCAGGAAGTGGGATTGCTGGGTGAACAAGGCAAGGCCAGGGCCGCCTGAGTCCACAGGTCTTGTGATTAGACTCAAAATAGGCATGGGGGCGAGGGGCTCAAAGCTACTGTACACTCTGGAGATGCCCGCGGGGCACCCAGATGCTTCCTGGCCTTCTCTGTGCTGTCAGGCCCCATGCTGACCCTGTGGCACTGCAGTCATGGGAACAGCACAGGCAGCACAGAGATGATGCAGGTGAAGCCTCTTCTGAGACCTACATGCCCGTTGTTCCGCTCCACACAGACCCACTGGGCTGGGCCCAGCACCACCCAAACTCCACCCTGGCAGAGACTTAAACTCCCGGAACCAAAGTCCTGCTGGCTCTGCCTGGCTGAAAGTCTGATGCCGCCTCCTCATTCTCAACCCAGCTTCATAAGGGAGGCCAGCAAGGGGGTCCAAAGTGATATTCCACAGCGCAGTCAGCCACCGAAGAGCAGCTCTGGAGGCCACGCCACTGGCGGGCTGCCTGTTCATGTCTCCATGCCCCGCCAGAGAGCTGGCCTCTGTGAGTCTGCCTACTGACCATGGACAGGGTGTCCCACCCAGCGAGTCTGCCTACTGACCATGGACAGGGTGTCCCACCCAGCTTCTGCTCTCACGTGGGCTTTGGGAGAACCACCTACCTGGGCTGAGCCACTGAACCAGCACTTTCTCCGATGAGACGGCCAGGGGTCTTTCCCAGCCACGGACCTTTACTGGGTCCAGCCACTGACGGCGCTCAGGGTCCCACAGGTATGGTGGCCTCACCTGGAGCCAAGGGCCCCTTACCTGGTTGGGGGCCTCTGGCGGCATGGGGGACGGCGACTTGGACTGGAAGGCGTCCTGGGAGATGAACCCTGAGTCGTGAGAGGACACGCTGGACAGCCGCACGGGCGCCTGCTGGGGCAGGTTGGAGCTGCGGTAGCGGTAATGGGAGCTGGGCGAATGCGAGTGGGAGCCGCTGGACCGTGAGTCGCTGCTGTTCACGCTGTTCAGGCTGCTGTCAGGGGTGGGCAGGGAGGGCAGAGGGGAGGGGCGGAGTCAGCAAGGGGGCACAAGGAGAAGAGCACACAGGGCTCCCAGCTCCCTGCCCACACGGGGGAGAAGCAGGGCCGCCCATAAGGGATGTCTTCAAATCGCTCCAGCTTGAAGGGCGGTGAACAAAGGCTTTCATCACTGGGCGGTGGCTGGAGCCTCACGGGTGGCCGTTAGAGATGACAGAACCCAAACGGCCCCAGGTGGAAGGTGCAGCCAGCACGGAGTCAAAATGCTGCAGCCCAGGGGCCAATTTCTCAAATGAGGGCCCTCGTCTCAGGGGGAAGGAGAGGATGGGGAGAAGCAGTAGCCAGGACACAGCTCCCCCCATGGCATCAGGGGACAGGCTTGGAGTGCAGCTATCATTCTCTAGTCAGTTCTGTGCTCGACAGCCAACAGCTGCCCGGCTCTGCTGTGTCCCCACAGGATGTATACACGGTGTGCATAGCAATGGAACAGGCCTTATCTGCTCCATGCCTGCAGGAACATGCACCACTAGAACTTCACTGTGACCTGCTCACAGGTGCAAGTGGCTCCCTTAGGTGTGCCATGTGGTCACCCTAGCCAGCTACTGCTTTGGGGTACAGGTGCAAACATGGATGTCTAATCCTGCAGAGAGCCCTGGCGTAAACTGGTTACACACTGGGCTGCTAACCACAAGGTCAGCAGTTTGGAACCACCAGCTGCTCCACAGGAGAAAGACGAGGCTCTCTACTCCCATAAAGAGTTAGTCTCTGAAACCCACGAGGGCAGTTCTGCCCTGTCCTACAGGGTTCACCTGTGAGTCGGCATGGACTCGAGGGCAGTGAGCTTGGTTTGGCGCTTGGACAGCCAATCAAGTAGCCCTGGGGTCCGAGGCTGCTCGGCACTAGAATTACGTGGTGGAGTCGCTATGTGTTGGAATCGCCCTGATGGCAGTGCGTTTGTTTCTTCTGTTTTGGCTTGCATGTTCCGATCGGGGCCCTGGGGGCTAGTGCTGGACCCCTCCAAAGGAAAAAGTGTGAGGCAGGCTGCTCCCAGAGAGATGCACAGCCTCTGAAACCCCGCCACCACAGGGCTGCTGTGAGTTGAGATTGACTTGATGGTTTGGGGGTTGGAATGTTCCAGTGGGGCCTTGGGATTTCTGTGGGCTGAACACTCATCAGGCTGTTTACGGCATGGTCTGAGGTTCAAACCCAGCAGCCACTCTGCGGGAGAAAGATGAGGCTGTCTGCTCCTGTAAAGATGTAGAGCCTCAGAAACCCAAAGGTCAGTTCTGTTCTATACAGGGAATCAACTTAATGGCAGTGGGATTTTGTTCGGAACATCCCAACATTGTGCTTCAGAGGTAAAACTCTCCCCTATCGTGCGGGAGACCTGAGTGCACGTCCCAGCCACGCCCCCCTCCTGCTGTGCAGCCTCTTGCAGGTGGAGGCTTGCTTGTGCCCTCGATGAGGCCGCCAGGCACCAGTGGAACTTCTAGACTGAGAAGAAAGGCCTGGCCTGCGGCTTTCACAAACCTGCCGTTTTAACCCTGTGGACCTGACGGAGGCATCTGGGAGTGGCCCAGAACCAGGCAGCACTGTGTCCCCCTGGGGGCCCGCTCAGTGGCACCTGGAACAACACCTACTCTGACAGACAGAGGGATTGGGGTGGGGTGGTGGTGTGGATTGAGAATCCACCTCAGCTGCCAAGAGCCTTCGTCATGAAGCCTGCCTGCTCTTCCCCGGGTCAGGGTTGCAGCCAGGCTGCTACAGCACCCCTCGGCCAGTCCCAGTCTAGAGCCGGCACCCCTAATCTGGACTCTCAGTCTCCTAAACCGTGAGTGAATAAATGTCTGTCTGTGACTGTCATCCGCGCACTAGGGAACCGAGACTGAGGCAGTAGGCACTGTCTACAGGGTGCTGGTGATGGTGGTGGGGTGGGTGGCGTAAACATCGTAAGAACACCATACAGGACCCCAATGTGGGGTTCCTGAGGTGATAAAGCTCCCTGGTACCACAACGCGTCCTCTCTGTGAAAATGGAGGGGGATTTGGCAGTCTCGGGGCAAGAGAGCTTGGGCCACGGCTGCTACTGTCTGCATTCGATCTGGCAGCAATGAGACAAGACTGGCTACGTTCCCCTTTCCTTGGTTTGCCAGAGTCTCACTTTGCTACACAGGGGATCCACCTCCAAGCCCAAGAAACCGGTGAGCCCTGCCCTGAGCAATGGGGAGAGCGCCAAGCACCACCCTCCAGGCTACAGGCCACTGAGGTTTGCTCACTGATCTGACACTAATCCAGACTACGGGTAACTGACATCAGGGAGGCAGCTTCCGGCTGCTCCCCACCCACTTCGGGCGTCGAGCTGGGAGATGAAGGACTGGCTGTGGGTCTCTCGGGCTGTCGAGTGGACCGCAGCTCTGCTTACCTGCAGACGCTGGACTTTCGGGACATGGCAGTGCTGGGGGACGACGGGGGCGTCTGATATGACCAACTGTAATCGGAGCCTTTCAGGTCCAAAATCACCTACAGACAGACAGACAGAGTCGCCTGGGTGAGCCGAGGGTGAGAAGGGGAACGTGTTAAAGGAAAGCCTTATCTGTCAAACCACCTGTCACAGTAGCAAGACTCTGCCAGCACCTGGAGGTGAGCACCATGCTGTCAATCAATCAATGTCATAATCCTTTTTCTGAGATAGGCCCCCAAACACAATTAATGGGGAACTATGAAACAGCAGTCAAAAGGAGAGAGAGAGAGAGAGATTGATTTACAGTGATGGGTGAACAATTTAGCCCCAAACGGACTTATCCCCAAGGCTGGAACTCAAGGAGAGTCATCTCCTCGAATCACAAATGCTCCAAGGGTTTGTCATTCTTACATCTGAACCAGTTGACACCCAACGGCAGTTTGTGAGGGGTCTCCCCAAGGGAGGTGGGGTGGGGGGAGGTGGAATCCTGGCAGGATCAAGGGCAAGCCGATCCCCTCCCGGCTTTTCACCATGACGTCTATGGTCGTCTCCCTCACTGGACACAAGGCTCCTGGAAAGTAAACCCCACCCACCCCCTTCGTCCACACGGTGCTCACAACACCGAGCTGTTAGGGCACGCATTCGTGTGGGATCCAATCAAAGAACTGCACCGAATGGAGGAGACATGCTCCCAGCGCTGGCTCCCCTCAAATGGGCTCCCTGAGGGGGCACTCAGACTTATACTCAAAGGACAGACCCCCAGCATGGGAGTCCCTGGACGTTCCCTCAGCCAGGTCTCCTCCCATGTGCTGTGGCCTTCCCGTCACACAGCCCCGTGAATGAAGCGCAGACAGGGCCCCCTCTGCGTGGTACCACAGGCTCGATCCCCTACCGCCACCACTGAGTGGCAGGGACCTAGTGAGTGAGCCCAGTTGACAACGAAGACGCGACCCAGCACCTCTGGCGGGGTGTGGGTTTCTAGAAGGTATGTCAGGTGGAGGCCATGGACTGTGGAACTCGACTGCTCGGTTCCAGTGCCACCACCGCTCACCAGCTAGGGGAGCTGCATTCTGTCACTTAGCCTCCTCAAACCTCAGCACCCTCCTTCGCAAAACGGAATACTAATGGAGAGCCACAGGGGGCCCAGGTAGGAAAGAAAGAGCCTAGAGAGCCAGGCCTGGCACACCGGAGGGGCTAGGCGACTGTCAGCAAATAGGACGGCCCCACCTTAAAATCCACAGGGCCCGGGAACCTCGGGTAGGAATGACAACGTGGCCATGCTGGAAACCCTCAGGCGTTTGACCACCGTTTCCCATGGGGGCTCGGCTCACGACTCCTACCTGCTCGCTGGAGGAGGGCAGCTTGTGCGGATCCATGGTCAGGCTCTTCAGATCTTCCGAGATGGTCTGAAGGTGAGTGATCTCCCCCAGCATGGAGATCTCTTCTTCCTGAGAGGAGGGGCGTCAGCGCGAGTTCACTTCCTCAGCCGTGGCTTCACCGGCCCATTTCTAACCGGCACCCCTCAGGGCCCGGTGGAACCCTTTCCCCTCTCTAGGACAGACACCCCAGGTCTAGCACATGGACAGACGGGGACATGGACTGAGCATGGAGGGCCTCGAGTGCCCGGCTCAGTGGCCAATAGGCAGAGGGGACACGCATGCCTCCCCCCTGCAGG